TGATCAGTCAGTTACTGTTTAGTTGGTCCTAGTCGCTAGTAACAGTTCTGTTGGTGATCAGTCAGTTACTGTTTAGTTGGTTCTAGTCGCTAGTAACAGTTCTGTTGGTGATCAGTCAGTTACTGCTCAGTTGGTTACAGTCGCTAGTAACAGTTCTGTTGGTGATCAGTCAGTTACTGCTCAGTTGGTGCCAGTCGCTAGTAACAGTTCTGTTGGTGATCAGTCAGTTACTGTTTAGTTGGTTCTAGTCGCTAGTAACAGTTCTGTTGGTGATCAGTCAGTTACTGCTCAGTTGGTTACAGTCGCTAGTAACAGTTCTGTTGGTGATCAGTCAGTTACTGCTCAGTTGGTTACAGTCGCTAGTAACAGTTCTGTTGGTGATCAGTCAGTTACTGCTCAGTTGGTTACAGTCGCTAGTAACAGTTCTGTTGGTGATCAGTCAGTTACTGCTCAGTTGGTGCCAGTCGCTAGTAACAGTTCTGTTGGTGATCAGTCAGTTACTGTTTAGTTGGTTCTAGTCGCTAGTAACAGTTCTGTTGGTGATCAGTCAGTTACTGCTCAGTTGGTTACAGTCGCTAGTAACAGTTCTGTTGGTGATCAGTCAGTTACTGTTTAGTTGGTTCTAGTCGCTAGTAACAGTTCTGTTGGTGATCAGTCAGTTACTGCTCAGTTGGTTCTAGTCGCTAGTAACAGTTCTGTTGGTGTATATTATTAGTCAGGTACTGCTCAGTTGGTTACAGTCGCTAGTAACAGTTCTGTTGGTATATATTAGCAGTCAGTTACTGCTCAGTTGGTTCTAGTCGCTAGTAACAGTTCTATTGGTGTATATTAGCAGTCAGTTACTGCTCAGATGGTTCTAGTCGCTTGTAACAGTTCTGTTGGTATATATTAGCAGTCAGTTACTGCTCAGTTGGTTACAGTCGCTAGTAACAGTTCTGTTGGTATATATTAGCAGTCAGTTACTGCTCAGTTGGTTCTAGTCGCTAGTGACAGTTCTGTTGGTGAATATTAGCAGTCAGTTACTGCTCAGTTGGTTCTAGTCGCTAGTAACAGTTCTGTTGGTGTATATTAGCAGTCAGTTACTGCTCAATTGGTTCTAGTCGCTAGTAACAGTTCTGTTGGTATATATTAGCAGTCAGTTACTGCTCAGTTGGTTACAGTCGCTAGTAACAGTTCTGTTGGTATATATTAGCAGTCAGTTACTGCTCAGTTGGTTCTAGTCGCTAGTGACAGTTATGTTGGTGAATATTAGCAGTCAGCCAGTAACATTACTCTGCAGCTGGCAAATGTTCAACAATTGTTTTACAGATGAATGCCTTTGTTTGATATCATTGTATCACTGTACACATCAGCGCTCACATTGTTTGTTTGTTGTTTAACGCCGCACTCAGCAATATTCCCGCTATATGACGGCGGTCTGTAAATAATCGCGTCTGGACAAGATAACCCAGTGATTGACATCATGAGCATCGATCTACGCAATTGTGATACAATGACATGCATCATTCAAGTCAGCGAGCCTGACCACCCGATCCCGTTAGTCGCCTCTTACGACAAGTATAGTCACCTTTTACGGCAAGCATGTGTTGCTGATGACCTATTCTACTCCGGATCTTCACAGGTACGGCCACATTGTGTTCCCATGGTGTGGGGTGGTTGTCGTGCTTGTAGCATCTATTGAAAACATACTTCCACTTGTCTAATACCTGGGGCGGCGGGGTAGCCCAGTAGTTCAAGTTTCCGCTCGTCATGCCGAAGAACCGGGTTCGATTCCCAACGTGGGTACAAAGTGTGAATTCTATTTCTGGTGTCCCCCGCCGTGGTATTGCTGGAATATTGCTTAAAGCGGCGTAAAACAATACTCACTCACTCGTCTGATACCTTTCTTATGATATACAGGATATACTGACGCTGGTTCAAACCCAGTTAGATAATATATTTGATATTCTGTTTCTATATATTATATGTCTTTTATCATATGATATGATATGATATGGTATGATATGATATGATATGATATGATATGATATGATATGATATGATATGATATGATATGGTATGGTATGGTATGATATGATATGATATGATATGATATGATATGATATATGATATGATATATGATATGATATATGATAAGATATGATATATGATATATGATATATGATATATGATATGGTATATGATATATGATATGATATGATATGATATGATATATTTGGTATCGTCACAGCCCTGTCATGTCACATATCTATTATTCTCCCCCCAGTCTGTGTCCTGTTTTGTCATATTGTTGATGTACTCCCGCAGTTCTAAGACCTCTTGCATCACATATAGAGTTTGTCTGAATTGTTTCCTGCTATAGTATACACCCTTAAGTCTAAACATACTCGCTTTATAAACATCTCACGCATTTTCAGCTTTTCTAAAAAAATAAAGAAACACACAAGACATTAACTTTAAAAATATGAGATCGAACTGCGAAATGTGACAAATTATGTTAAAACATACAGTCTTATAAAACCAGAATGTGTATTTCGATAAGCTACGTAGCTGTCCCCGATAAAAAGATTTGAAAGAGCCGTGGGGGTTGAGTGTAAAGCTGCTGAGGTATACGCAGGCTGGGCTGAAAACCCCGGGGGTGACGATGTTGATGGATTACAGATCTTACTCTGGGAGCTTTTACAACCTACCCATGGGGTACTCTCGTACATATATCCAGATATGTAGCAAGTCACGCGGTGTTTTCTACCGTCGACCAGGGACGGAATGGAGGAGCCTGGTAGTCAACGGATGTGTTTTTAACATTGGAGGAAAGTTCTGAAGTGGATAATTGAAATGGGAAAACTGCTTGTGTTTCAGTTTTATCTGTACATACATAGCGTGTCCTGACAATAAAATTATAATTGATCAGCTGGAGGCTCTGAATCATGATTAAAATGATATGTTATGAGATAAAACAATTAATACTAAAGATATAATTCATGAAATATTGAAACATTGCCATGCACAATCACTTGTATTCTGATGTTTTCGTAAGCTTAGAAAACCTTTTTGCAGAGGTGTGTCGTATTACTATCGAGGAAATACTTCCCCCCCTCTAACTGTAATGCTGGTCCCCGACGGCAAGCTTCAATATGTAGTCAAGTCACGTAGGTGTCCCAAAACAAGAGCTCGTTTGAAGGTAGCCATCGATAGTTCATCCTAAGCGCTGCTTAATACCATATTTCTTACATTATCGTGTTTTTACGTCACTTGGATTTTCTACACAGAAGTTCTAACTAGTGTCGGTGTAGAAATGAATTCAACTATGATGTAAAATGTATTCTCCTGTAACGTGTTTTGGTCACGTGTTATTTTAGGTTTTCCAGCCTCTGTGTATCGCTCGATGACTCCCTCTAAGTACAGTGTTATATAAGGTACTCACGATAACACAAACTCACTACCCGCCTGGTAATTCTCGTTTAACAACCCGCCAAGGGTATCAACTGTCTGTTGACGCTATCACGTATCATTGATTAGGAATTAACTACCATATCCCGGCAGTAAATCCGCAAGACTATGTCACGTGACTCCTAATCGGTAGCAGTGTAAACTCGCTGATGAATTTTTGCATGTATTTTAATACCGCATTGACATGTCCCACTATAGTCAAGGCGCTTCAATAACGCTCACCCTGCTCGGCAAACACTGCCCTCTCCCAGGAGGTGGAATGAATACTACAATAATACCCCCATTGTTTTCTAAGCTGTGTGTGTGTGAACTCAATGTGCAGCTAGAACACTCCACAAGTGCCTCAATTGTCCATTGGAAAATTGTCACCAACCGCTTGTCCCCAAAGCCATTGCTTTTACCGACTTTCAACTGTCTATCGATTGTCAACAATTGTCAACTTACTAACGTCTCGTGCATGGAATATTGTGTTTTATAGCTGTTAATGGTCAAGGCACGCGCTATCATTAATTATATTCTATGCACGGGCGCAGGACCTGCCTTGGGTCGATGTTCCTCTATAATCCCTTGCTGTTGTGCTGATCGCCTTCTACCTACGGTTAAGTCTGTACTTGATGCTTTGTCAGGGACGGGTCTGTCAGATTGTACAGAGCGTGACTGTACGCGATTAAGGTGTAGGGATGATAGGTTGGGGATAAATAACATTAATCATTTATTGATGTATATTGATAGTGTGTGTAGGTTCGGGGATAGTTCGGGTACAGCGGTAATACATCCATTTAGGGACGCACGCTATGGGGGATGACGTCGGTAACGGCTCACATGTATCCAGCAGCGTTATCAACCTGATCCAATAAGTCCAGTATGTACATCATCAACGGATTGTGGACGGATTGCAGTTCAAACCTGTAGAAGATGCCGTCATTATATTATCTTGAGCGCATGTATCGTGTTCATTTGGGCTCGAATTAGTCAGTGGTAGAAGAAGCAACAATTCGCCGTAAAGAGTTGTGTCCCTTAGCCAGGATCTGCTGATTGTAGGTTTGAAGCCCCGATTCCCATGATCCTTGCTTTGTAGCGCCATACCCACACTCGTGGCTTACCATCAACGACCTGCGTCACAGGATATTCCTCCCTAATTAATCTGTTATTACTGAAATGCCACTTAAAGTGGTCTTAAACTCAATACCCCTGTCTGACTCTCGGCATTAAGGGGCTAAAGCAAGGACTGGTCGGCTCGGAGTCCGCATACTGTGTCTGAGTCGGATATTCATGTTAATGTATACATGGTATCTCAGTGAGCTAGCACTATAAATCGGCATCAGTCCGGACTAGTACAAGCAGCCACGCACGCACGCACGCACGGACGGACGCACGCACGCACGCACGCACGCACGTACACACACACACACACACACACACACACACACACGTGCATGCACGTCGCCATGTAAGTGCAATTATCTTGGACGGGACGTTAAACCCCATTTCACCTTAAACTCAATACACATATGGATATATGTTAAAGTACTCTGCATTTTGTCTTCCAGATGGTGTTAGACTCTCCAAACCCCGGTCCTCACGACCTCATGACCCTTGACCAGACCACATCGGAGATCCCGATTCTGTTGGACGGTACAGTTAGATGGGTCACAGGCCTGACGAAGCGGACGACCTGCGATGACGTCATATACGCCTTACTGTACCAAGACGGCAACCACGAGGGCGAGACAACAGAGAACTACGCCATCTTTGAAAGATGGCGGGACGTGCAGCGGCCATTACAGGCCAGAACGAAAATAATGAAGATCTGGAAGGCCTGGGGTGTAGAACAGAATAACGTCGAGTTGTCGCTGCGAAGGCTGCAGGACGAAAGCTACATGTCTGGCGAGTCGTACAGGACTAGTCGGAGACACAAGCGTAGCAGGCATAAGACTCGTCATGGCAACGACTGTGGATGTCGTCCTGGAGCCCACAGGAACTGTTATAGTACAGGGAAGTTGCGCTCTCTTGAGAGCCTTGTGAAACTAGTCATTGCGCAGGAGCGGAAGTTGCACGACCTGGGTGAAAGAATTGATAAAACCGATAACAAAATTGACAATCTTGAAACTCGTCGCCATTTTAGCCGTGTGAAACAAAGTGGCGACGATTATGTTCAAAGTGCTTACCTCGACAGTCTCAGTGAAGATAGTATGGATGAGCTGTTTGGTAATGTGAAATCGGAGGATATTGAAGCGTATTTGGAATATTGTGAGAGGATTATCAAATTGGAAGATAAATTAACAGGTGAGAACAGTAAATTGAGAGATGTCTCCAGAAAGTTACAAGAATCTCTTGCCAAGAGTGACTGTGTAGGTAACGGCGTGTCTAGTCTGACTGACCTTGACCTCTCTTTGCCTCTGAACCAGCAGCTGGAACAGGTTCAGGTTGAAATGAACCGCCTGGTGAGCGCGGGGATGATGCAGAAGTACCAGGAGGACTCGGTCAAGCGAGAGTTGCATCAGTGTGACAAGCAGATCGAGGTCAAGAGACAGCTCATCAGGTCACTCAAATATGACCTGGATAGTCTTCAGGTCCGATTGGACAGTGCCAATGTGGACCAGAGACAGGACGAATCCACTGAGGATGATGCCGATGATAGAGTGTCTATTATACAAGTGCATGACTCGCCTCCCAAGTCTAGGAACAAGTCAGTGACGTTTGATGATAGGTTCAATCACATGCATGTCATAGGGACGTCTCACGAGAGTCTGATGGAGAGACTCGGTAGCTGTGACAAGAATGGGGATAATCCCCATCAGACTCCCCCCTACGTCAACGACAGCTGCTACAGGAGGCGGCCCCATCACACAGCTACTCAACAGAAAGTCACGTCCATTTTGAAAAACAAAGAACAATATAGTTATAAAGCACATTCCAATTCCCCTGTTAATACTCGAGTTGGTCCTGATACGGTGCCAGTCAATCAGTCCGACACATCCCCTGGGTCTGAACTTGACCGGCTGACCAATGCCCATGACAGTGGCCGGTATCATTTGCCGAGTGGCATGTACACGTTTGCCAATGATGGACATTACTCTCTGCTCGACTCTTCTAACAAGCAGTACAAAGACGAAGACTCCAACTCCGACACAGGCCTCAGTTCCATGCACAGTGACGAGTCTCCTGGTCTAGAGACCCTGGTCTAGACATTGTCTATTCCTGGTTCGGACCTAGCCTATTCGTGGTGTGGACAAAATCTATTCCTGGTGTAGACGGAATCTATTCCTGGTGTAGACGTAATCTACTCCCCGTGTAGGAACAATCTATTCCTGGCATAGACACAGTCTATTCATAGTGTTCTCACAGTCTATTCCTGGTGTAGACACATCCTATTCTTGGCATAGACATCGCCTATTCCTGGTGTAGAAATGATCTATTGCTGGTGTAGGTGCAGCCTATTCCTGGTATAGACATGGCCTATTCCGGGTGTAGAAATGATCTATTGCTGGTGTAGACGCATCCTATTCTTGGCATAGACATGGCCTATTCCGGGTGTAGAAATGATCTATTGCTGGTGTAGACGCTGTTTATTCATGGTATAACACAAAACACAACCTATTCCTGGTGTAGTCTGTTTCGATGTATCCCAGTAACTATAACTGTGACCGTTGTTTTCTTAAGCAACTTTTGTTTAACTTAATACATGCTGACCGTGTTCTTTTCTGGCATTTTGACGATAAGAACGTACACACGTCCAATTTCCCCGTAGCCCCTGGTGACCGCGTATAGGACGAGCGCAATACTGCCTTCACCGACTCATACCCAGACATTATAGGGCACACATTAATGCAAGATATACCTTTGGTCAACCAACCCAAAACAGCTGATGAACATAAAATATATAGATTTCAAGATAATAAATTTCCCTATTTATTTCTTAAAATAATGTTAGTAAGTTAAAGCACAACATCGTTTACTAGAAATTGGTGTTGTTAAAAAGGCTAGAATACTCAGTTCAGAGAGTCCACTTCATTATAACTTCAATGACTTGCTATCATAAAGCACATTTTACAGCTAATTACCTTATTGATATTGTATAAACCGTTTCACCTGACCAATTCATGGGGCATTCTTCCAACAATATTTAATTAGCATTTTCATGTCAGAAATGGCAAACAGCAAAACCTGATCCTCTCCGAATCTTGGGTCTATCAGACATATCGAGCTACAGAAGTTCGAGACACACGGGGGGGCGAGTGGTTAAAGCGTTCGCTCGTCACGCCGAAGACCCGGGTTCGATTCCCGACATGGGTACAATGTGTGAAGCCCATTTCTGGTGTCCCCCGCCGTGATATTGCTGGAATATTGCTAAAAGCGGCGTAAAACCATACTCACTCACTCACTCGAGACACACGGGACACCGAAAACAGAGTTTTAAGTTACATCTCTTCGGACCATGCAGTTCCATCGTCTTAAGCGATATGTCGAGTTACTGAAGTTCGGGTTATGTGGTTTAGCTGTATATTATAACTATTTATGTAACATCGGTTGCTGTTCAGTGGATGTCAAGAACCTAACATCAGGTCATCATGTACTCCGAATTGTAGAATACAAAGTGTTTATTTCCGATTCTGGCTTTTAGACGAATATGTACACGTAGTTTGAAAGGAATTTACAAGTCGAAGTCAGATTCTACTGCATGTCCCCGCCTACCAGAGACCAGTTGGTGTAAATGTCATAATTGGAAATGTCATTGTATAATGTCATTGTGTGATGTCACACGACTCCTGTTGGTGTCCACAGAAGCCAGATATTGCAATATTGTTTGTTGTCCACTCTCATCATCGTTCATAAATATTCAATACTCTTTGTTCCCGTGTTGATTGTGATTTAACGACGCATCGAGCTATGCGATACTGTCAATCTTCAAGTGAGACGAACATGAACAAGGGGGAACTGCCGACTACACAATGGTTGAACGCTAATTGAAACCTGAGATTATATGACCGGTCAGTCTATTGCTATCCTCGTGGCAGCAAAATTAGGTATATAAAGAGATAATCACTTTTCAGTTTAATGTCATTATTTTTGTAACCTGATAGTCTTTTATTTGAGTTAATCAATGAAACCGATTTGTATAAAATATCAATTCTTAGCAGAAGGAATACTATACTCATTTATCAATACTTCCCGACTTCACTTCCGAAATACTCATTGTTCATTAATACGCCGACGGTTATTTGATTCGTCCTTATTACCTTGTTGGTATTGTTACGTTTTCTACTGGTAACAAGAATATCATGAATAGATAAGACTATCGAATATTGGGATATATCCAGTTTTGACAGGCATCTCATGGTTACATGCGTTGAGGTACCCTTTGTTTTTAGACGTGACCTTGAGCAATGGTGACCTTGGCATCGTGGGGAAACTTAAACCATGTATAGAAAGACATACTGAACATTGACACTAGGACATGGAAGATATAACTGTATCCATATCACATGGCTTTGTTGCGTTGGGGCTATCACATATCTCCTCCCCCTTCTTCGTGAACATCTGTTGTCATCATTGTAACTTATCCGCAAGCGTGGTATTCAGGAATTGTCCGCTCACATTTTGTTTCGTATTTCAAGTTCCAGAAAATCTTGTTTAGGTGTGGTGAGGTGAGGTGAGGTGAGGTGAGGTGAGGTGAGGTGAGGTGAAATGGGGTTTAACGTCGCGTCCAAGATTATTGCACTTATATAGCGACGTGCATGTATGTGTGATTGTGTGGCTGCTTGTACTAGTCCGGACTGATGCCGATTTATAGTGCTAGCTCACTGAGATACCATGTCGCAGTTTAACTTGAATACCCCACTCAGACACAGTATACTGACTCCGAGCCGACCAGTCCTTGTTTTAGCCCCTTAATGCCGAGCGCCAGACAGGGTAACAACGAGTACCATCTTTTTTTTACGTCTTTTTGTATGACGCGGCCGGGGATCAAACCCCGGACCTTCCGCTCTCCGGGCGGACGCTCTACCACTAGACCAGGAGGCGGTCCTCTTGTAAAGGTTCGAATCTACACTCAGTGACTAATTTGTACCCGTTTTGTAATTCGTGATAAGATTATGATGTGATGATGTTTAAAATCACAATCCAGATTACAACGTCATATGAATGGAGTGAGTGGGCGAGTCAAGTTTAACGCCAGTCTACACAGTACGCAGTTATGTTCGTCATCTGGATATCAGAGGAAAGCACATGCTATGAAATTTGCAGACGCTTACCATCTCATTAAAACGCATGGGGCACCTGAGTGCTGTCAAACAAAGATTCACGATGAGGGCGAATTTGGATTCGAACCCACAATCAGCGGATCATAACACAGTTAAGGGATGCAACTCTACACAACTAAATGAGGTGTTTTGACGACAGGGCCAGATATTACATATCTCATACGCATATCCTTCAGAAGTGATGACTTAGACGAAGGATCATAATTGAAGCGAAACTCGAATCAGCGGATCCTGGTACGGAAAAGGGACGCTGCACATCAAATCATGTTATTCGTGCCTCGTCTAATAAATTGAACCGAACGCTGATTTTTTACACACTGTTCACATATGACCGTTAACAGTCTTATCACCTGCTACCTCATCATATCGACATCAAATAGTATAAATCCCCGGGTACCCACCCACGCACACCGACTTGTGACGATGACTGCAACACGGGATCTGACCTTAACACAGGAGGCAATCGCTTTATCTTACTTACATGCTTACTCAAACACAACATATCTTCTTAATCTAACATAAATCCTTATTCCGGTTAAAAACACTGAACGCCGAGGAGATCTGCTACCCCCAAAGTTGAACACTCCTAATCCTCACATGTGCTGATTGGAAAGCAAATTGAATCCCACAACACTAGGCGAGCAACGTGATATCTATTATGCCAATGGAATTAACGCTAACACTGTTATTGGTTTCCTGGTTGGAAGCGTCTGCTTATATTACCTGTTGTTAGGCAAACGTGACCTGGGATTTCTCTCAAAGGAGGAAGCCAACTGGTCTGGCCCTTTATTGAATATTTGTAGTTTTTTTCCGTGTTGTCAGATCTTCCACATGGTAATGTCGAGCAGAGTTACAAAAGAATTGGTAGTCTGGTTTAAATAATGTCAGCCACACGATTAGCTCAATATGGATTTTCCTCGAATTCTTAGTTTGTCAAGGCTGTGTCAGTTAGCTGGTAATGTAGACAAACCAATACATAAAAGTGATCACGCTGTATTCGATAGTCCAGCTATATGATGACGGCTTGTAAATAATCGAGGCTTGATAGTTCCCCGTAAGTCCTCAACTAGAGTATATGATAGGCGTGTTTGAACTGTAGGCGTGCCATGACCCGTTGATCGTGGGTTCGAATCCCTATTACTTTGCTCGTTGATTTCATGAAATTGTCTCAGGCCTGCATAACGTCGATGTTGCCTCCAAGATTATGCTATCACGCCGTCATATAACTGTTCACACCAGAATTCAAGTAAACTGGGGGCGGTCGGGTAGCCTAGTGGTTAAAGCGTTCGCTCGTCACGCCGAAAACCCGGGTTCGATTCCCGACATGGGTACAATGTGTGAAGCCCATTTCTGGTGTCCCCCGCCGTGATATTGCTGGAATATTGCTTAAAGCGGCGTAAAACCATACTCACTCACTCATGTAAACTGTATCACGAGAGGTGAGATGAGATCAAACGTTCAAGATTATTGCACTTATATAGCGGCCCATAGAGACGGAAGGGCTGTGCTGGGGATACAGGGACGACACCTGTATTGTGTCAGTACTCTTACATAAATGTTTAAATAACTGCCTATTTTATTTGGGGGTTTGGGTCGGGATTAGGTATCAGCAGTCGGAAACAGAATACAGTAACCCACCCTGACACAACCCCAACCAAACCAAACAACCACAACTAAACATGGAAAAACCAGTTAAACACAACTTACTGCGGATTTCTATATAAATACCATTTTTGGAATCGTATCTCGTTTCTGATGAAACTCATTTGCTCGTGTTTATGAAGTGACATACCGTGCACGCATATCGATATATATGAACCGATGGCCATTATCTAGTGACGCGTTCTATGGCAATAACTAGTTGACGACCCTTTCAGTTGATTCCCTGGTTCCGTGGGTCATATGGCATGACTGTTCACATCTTGTGAAATATACAGTGTTCTGGGTCTTGTCCCAACATTTCTTCAGATACTGGAAGTATTTTAGACCTTTCTGAAAATTGTGTAGATCGATGCTCATTATGTCAATCACTGGGTTGTCTTGTCCAGATTCGATTGTTTACATACCACCGTATTCGATTGTTTACATACCACAAACAAACAAACAAATATGAAAATGAGAGCAATGCCATATTTCTAAAAGAGACATCGACGTTCGGAATACAGTAAACTACGGTTATAACGAACTCAAAGGGACTATTAAGTTTAGTTCTTCATAACCGTTGTTCGTTATAAGCATATATGCAGCATAACTACAGCAAATAGTCGGGACCAAAAAGTAAGTTCGTTATATCCGTCAGTTCGTTATAAGCGTGTTCGTTTTAACCGTAGTCTACTGTATATGAAAATATAGAGCGGATGTGCTTAACTATTTGCCAGATATTTGCTATTATGATATTTTGCTATAGTGTGGTTTGTTCACAGTACATCTGTGTCGCGCTTCACGAGAAACTGGAGAGAGGGCTACATCTAGCAGATTACTGGAGATCCCCGCCCTGTATGGAAGTGTTGACCCCCTGCATGTCAGGTAAATACCACTGGAAGAGGGTGAGACATTCCTGTAGGACTGGTCAGTTGTACTGGACACAGCAGACCCCTGGAGGTCAACAGATTGGCTATATAGGGTAATACCCTCAAGAATGTCTGCACAGGCATGAGGTCAGGTCGTTCACCTGAAGAGTGGATGTGTGGTGAGTGGATGAATTAGATGTGAATGAATGAATGAATGTGTGAACGAGTGAGTGTGTGAGTGAGTGAGAAGATGAGTGATAGGGTCAGACAACGAGAGGAATGGTGAATGAGTAGATGAAAGCATTGGTGAGTAGGTGAGTGGATGGATGAGTGAGTTGATGGATGGGCGAGTGAGTGATATGATCAGGTAACAAGATGAATGGTGAATGAGTTAATGGAAGCATTGGTGAGTGGGTGAGTGGGTGAGTCGGTTAGTGAGGTAGGGATGGAGGGGTAAGTTGACAGTGTTTCACGCGAGACTACAATATAAGTTCACACTATTTTTTGGAATCGATCAGAAACTCATGAGAGGGGACGTCTGGGCTATCTGTCACTCGTCACAGAACTATGTCAACCCCCCCCCCCCCCCACCACCACCACACACACACACACCTCACCATACATCCATACCTTCTTGTATGCCTTTCTATACAATGTGTTATGTATTTCGAATGGAAACCCCCAGCGCGCACTCATGATGACCGCAGTTGAAAACAGTTCAGGCGCCAGTCTGTCCCTGGTCAACCACAGTGTTATACACATCTTCCTGATATTGTGTGTGAACACAACAGTGCTTGTTGACGACACGTTGTGGAGATTATGACAAGAGAGACACAATCAGTAATGACTGACAGGTAAATGTTATAACACAATCAGTCATGATTGACAGGTAAAACAAAGCCAATTACGCGTAAAGATAAAACCATACACTCTAACGTGTTCATCTGATTACTGACTCATTCAGTTCAAGGTGATCTCGTACTTGTTCTTCATCAGTACACCTGATTACTGACTCATTCAGCTCAAGGTTATCTCGTACTTGTTCTTCATCAGTACACCTAACTACTGACTCATTCAG